TATGGCACTAAAATCATTCCGTAGAGGTTCACATGGTAGATGCAGGGAGACGGAAAGAAGACAAAGGTACGTGAGATTAAGCTGTGTCCTGTGTTCAGAATGTCAGCAGGATTTAAACTATTCCATGTCTTTCAGGTAAACTGAAGCCCTAAGAGCGATGGGATTTGCTGGAGCTCACACAGCTAGCCAGTGGCAAAGAACAGCTTAGGAACCAGGTCCCAACTCCTAGAGAACTTTCTGCCAAATCAAGCTGATTTTAAATTATATGCTAGATATGCTCCTTATCCTCTACCATCTATCTCTTCAACTATCATGCAGGCACTAAGGGTCAATGGGCAAGATTTTCTTGTGGGCAGTCGGCTGAGTTGGGTTGACATACAGCTACTTGAAGTCACTTAATGGCTGAAGAGTGCAAAGCCAGTGTCCTCTCGGGCTTCCTGCTATTACAAGTAATTCTACCCTAATAGCTCCCAAGTACTGCAGGGACACTGAATTCGTACCATTCATTTATTCTTTCACTCAGTCATTCATCATTTATGAAACTACTAACTTCTTTATGTCAAGATCTGTGCTAGAAATATGAAGATGCCCTCAAAGAATATACCTCGTAGGGGAAACAAGCATACAGACAGGTAACTTCAGTATAATGTGGCAAATTAAAAAATAAAATGGTATGGGAAAGCAGGTGACGGTCATTGGGACCAGCACAGGGATGAGGCAGGCTTCTTGCAGGACCTAAGTCTCAAAGGCTTTGCCTGGAATGTAGTAGAACCTCAATAAAAGTTGCTTCCTTCCTCTAGATAAAATGGAGAGAAAACGCATAATATTCTAATACAGCCATTATTTAACGATCACAGAGGATTCTTATTATATGCCACACATTGTACCAAGCACCATATGCACATTACCTCATTAATTTCATTCCATCCCCAAAGTAAAATATGAAATCAGACTCAGAAAGATTAAATAACTTTTGCTGGGTCCCATCGTTAGCAGGTGACAGGACTATTACTGAAACCTCAGTCTTTCTCATTCCATTATCTGAGTTTTAAAACATTTTGCTGTGTTGGTGAATTTCTTTATAATCTTTTAAAAATATGCTTATTTAAAATATTTGTAATCTGAGCTATGATAATTCTGCAGCCTCAATTTTCCACTTCATATTACATTATAAACATGTTTTGGTATTGTTATTTAGTCTGCCTCACCTTTATACAACATAGTCTGTAATACATTTTTTGAAATTTTTCATGATTATATAATATTCCATTTATTGTGATCAGGATAAACTTATTTTAAATAGGGAAAACAACTTAAATGGCCAATACCTGAGAAATGTCTACATAGATGAGGATACATCCATTGGATAGAATTTTCTGCAGCCACTTAAAGTTATGTTTTCAGAAATTATATAACAATATGAAAAAATTCTTATGGCATTAATAAAATGAGGACTTCTCTTTATTAAATACCAGGATGCTCTGGAATGTTTGCTTATATAAATAATGATGCAATAGCATCTTTATGGGTATGCATTTTTCCACACTTAAGATTATATCAATAGGAGACAATTTTTAAAATAAGATCACTTGGTTACAGTTTATGAACATTTTTGTTTCTTGAGAATTATTGCTAACTTGCTTTCTACAAGGGTAGTATCACTGCAATGCCACATAATGTATGACAATTCCATTTATCTCCCACCTCCACTAGCAGTGGGCAATATATATTTTAAACACTTTTCCTCACGTGCAAGAATGTGCTTCATTTATATTTTACTTTATTTTGCTATGGTCTTGTCTTCTCCCATGGATAGTTTCCTTTTTCATTTTAGGAATTCAAGGCCAGAATCAGCCACATCCCCACAACTAACCAATTTCTCCAGCCTGGAAGCTAGTGGAAGCCTCCACTAGATGAAGAATCCATTGAGACCACGACGAAAATTTTCAAATTTGAATGTGGCATGTTTCTTAAAAACATGAGCACTATAGTAGCTGAGTATTAACAAATAAAGAGGCCTAAGGGATTTCACTCTACATTTGAAGCAGGATCCAGAAAAATATCATAAGACCATATAAATAAAGAAATAAAAGTAATAAAATCATAAAGAAATAACCTAAGTATCTGTCTTTAAGTCAGAGAACTCCTTTTCTATTTTTCATAAGACAGTAAAACACCAATTAATCAGAACTATCCAAATAAGAATTCTTCTATATTCTATAAAAGACTAAATTTACAAAACAGTAAGAGTATAAGTAAGAAAATGATGTCAAGGATTTCTTTAAAAAACAAAAAAAACCCACACACATTACTTTCTTAGTCCATTTTCTGTCCCTTATAACAGAATGCCTATCCCTGGGTAATTTGTAAAGGAAAGGAATTTACTTTTTACAGTGTTGGAGGCTGGGAAGTCCAGGGTCAGGGGGGTACATCTTGTGATGGTCTTCTTACTGGTGGGGACACTCTGCAGAGTCTGAAGCTGCATAGGGTACTGCATGGTGAGAGGGCAAAAACATGATAACATGCTAGCTCAGGTCTCCTTTCCTCTTTTTATATAGCCCCCTGTTCTACTTCCATGATAATCCACTAACCCATGAGTGGATTAATCTGCCTTCATGATTCAATCACCTCTCAATACTGCCACACTGGAGATTAAGTTTCAACATCAAATTTGGGGGAGAAAGTTGAACCATAGCAATCACCATCGTTCACTTCCACCACCTGTCGGGAAATGTCTAGGACACAGCATAGCTTCAAACTAGTTTCTTTTTTTTTTTTTTCCTTTTTGTCTTTTTTCGTGTCCGGCAACGGATCGCAACCCTCAGTGTCGCGCCCGCACCCCGCCCAGCCAGTGAGCAGGAACCGGTCTGTATGTGGGATCCGAACCCTCGGTGGGAGCACCACCGCGCTCCCAAGCGGCGCACTGTAGCAGTGCACCAACGGGCCGGCCCCCAAACTAGTTTCTTAAACTTTCAATCACTGGAGTATTTTACAGATATAGTATATATTTCTATGATCAATTTCACATTTAGTTTTTACTTCGGTATCATAATCATAGTTTGAGTATAAGTCACCCAAATCTGAAGGCTCTTCTCAGTCATCTTTGACACTTGGCAAGTAAGCAGAGTAGGGACAACAGTTTTTTTCAGGCTTGTTTGAGGTAACAACCTCTTTGGCACCATTAGGATTAGTGGAATTTTTTTTTGTTTTTTCTTTTTTAAGTGGGATTTTTTTAAGTATATCAAAGAATTTTGTCTGAGTTTCCTATTTGGTTCAACTAGTAGGTTTTTTTTTTTTTTTTTTTTTACCTTTCCCTTAATTGAATTACTTATCAGTGAAGGTTTAACAACCTCCTCGAAAGTCAGTTGGGAAAGTCAGCTTAACACATCCATATGAATTCTGCTGTAATCAGTGGAAGAACAAAGGGTTTGAAATCTAACACCATTGTGCACAGCCAACAGGATCAAAATCGCAGAATTTTAGAGCTCTACAGGGTCTTGTCAATCATTTAGTTCAATTCGTCTTTAAGGATGAGAAACTGAGTTCCAGAAATAGTAAATGACCTTCAAAACAGCAGTTGTGTCAGCGGAAGACTTGGGCTGGGACTTGCGTCTCCTGATGCTCAAACTGCCCTAAAAGTGCCTTGGACATTAAAAGTTATAACTATGCCTAAAAATTAAGTGGTGATATGAGGAAAAAGAATCATTTTTGTTTCAGAATTATTACTATTTCACACACACAAATACACAGAGAGAGACAGAGATACACACACACGCACACACACACACACACTTATTCAATGTTCCTCAGAATCACGAGGCAGTATACTCGGACCCACAGGAGACACTCAATAACTGTCTAGTTAACTGAATGTAAGGAAAATAACCAGTATTTTTTTTAAAGTAAGATTTGATTAACAAAATAATACTAGCAAGAAGGCTAACTGTTTTTTCTTTGTAGCATTCTATTTGGGGTATTTGATGCCTGGAGTCTAAATAATGGTCTAAGAAATAATAATAAATTCAGAAGTTTCATGATAGCCTTTTAGGGGCTATACCAATATGAAGGGAGAAGTGGTTTTATGTAAGAGATCAGGGCATTAATGTCACAGTTTAAGAACAGCTTTCAAGAAAAAAATCACTTATTGATATAAAAAAATAAAATGACTGACAATAAATATATGGGAACTACTTAAATACATATTAATAAAGAGCTCAATATATCTATATATTACTGATATAGTTTTGTCTTCTGACACAATCTCATTATTAAAAATATCCCTAGCCCCTATTTAAAATAAGGAAAAAAAGAACAATAAAAAAAAAATACTTTTTCTCCCTCAAATATAGAAATGATAGAATTTTGCCTTCATTTGTATTTTCTTCCATATACCACTGTGGCACTTTGAATAATAATTAAATCAAATAGAGACAATCTTCTTGGCATAGTTTTCCAGACCGTCACTGTATTTCTCTTTCAAGCTAGACAAAAGAAAGCCAAGTGTCCTGGGGGCTTTCAACACACAGGCTTCCATTTTTTCTGTAGATGTTTCCCTATCCCAACAAGGGAAGAAGCTAAAAAAGGGTCAACCTTGCTTTTCTAGATTAAGTTGTAAGGCAGAGCAGAATCTAAAAGCTATTGGTGAATTAAATGAAATACTGCAACTGTCTCTTTTTAGGTATTTTCACAGCAACGTTAAAAACTATGCTAAATATAGATTTAGGAGAGACAGCATAAAACCTGGCACAAATTCCTTGCTTTTTCTAATTCAATTTAATTTTTCTTGTAACAAGTTTTCTAGAAATATTCTTCTGAGTTGGAAGGCCTGGTAGCAGTACCATTATTTTTGATCGGGTCTGTCTAGAAAGGAATGAGTTGTGTTCTGAATCGACACATGCACATGGCCACTTGCCATTTGACAATGTATTTTCTAGTAAACCTAGTATAGGGTATCAAAAAGATCACTCTGAAGGTTCGATTCTCCATAAACGGGAAATGCCTTACTTACACAGTGACAGTTTTACATCTCGTTTGTCATTGGAGACCCGGTAAGCTCCATAGCCAGCCAAAAATCCAACAAAAAGACCAGCAATCAAAGATAGCACACCACCTGAGGGGGAAAAAAGCATGAGCTCACAAAGAGCATCCCAAGATGAAAGTAATTCATTCCAAAACGAAGTAATTCGTTACTTCATGTATGATACATGCACCTTCAGACGTATTCCTACTAGGCCACTGCAACTGGACAAAGCCAAACTAAGTATAGGCCTCTTCATGGATCATTTCTAAGAAGGACTGTTTCATGCTGAACCCTAAATGCAACACAGAGGAACCCTGAATGCACAGCAATGCAGGGGTTAGTTATCGCTTAAGGAATAAGAAAACCTGTTTTGTAGTAGTGGTTTTGACACTGATTACATGATCTTGGGTAATTAGTTGATTTCTTTATGCCCCCCCCCCTTTCTAATTCTTATTCTCTTTGTCTCCATGTTTCTACTGTGAGGTTGTGATGATGGAAAATAAGAAAAAAGGTATTTTTATCTAACAAAGGTAAAGAGAAGTGCTGTGCAAACCAAGCAATGGTTCTGTCCTGAATAATTAACAAAACTTCAAACTTTAAGATGTCAGGACTCAAGGACTAATGGACACCATACTGAGAAAGGGCAAGAATCAGGGCACAGCCCCATCCCATCCACCCACCCACCCACCAGTGCACTTCCAGCCCCATCCCATCCACCCACCCACCCACCAGTGCACTTCCAGCCCCATCCCATCCACCCACCCACCCACCAGTGCACTTCCAGCCCCATCCCATCCACCCACCCACCCACCAGTGCACTTCCAGCCCCATCCCATCCACCCACCCACCCACCAGTGCACTTCCAGCCCCATCCCATCCACCCACCCACCCACCAGTGCACTTCCAGCCCCATCCCATCCACCCACCCACCCACCAGTGCACTTCCAGCCCCATCCCATCCACCCACCCACCCACCAGTGCACTTCCAGCCCCATCCCATCCACCCACCCACCCACCAGTGCACTTCCAGCCCCATCCCATCCACCCACCCACCCACCAGTGCACTTCCAGCCCCATCCCATCCACCCACCCACCCACCAGTGCACTTCCAGCCCCATCCCATCCACCCACCCACCCACCAGTGCACTTCCAGCCCCATCCCATCCACCCACCCACCCACCAGTGCACTTCCAGCCCCATCCCATCCACCCACCCACCCACCAGTGCACTTCCAGCCCCATCCCATCCACCCACCCACCCACCAGTGCACTTCCAGCCCCATCCCTTCTACCCACATTACCAGTGAACTCGCAGCTCCCATCCCACCCATTTACCTACTCACCAGTTCACTCCCACCCTCCAACCCACCCACCCCACCAGGGCACTGTGACAAACATCAAGCACTTCCTGTGCACTGGACAGCTGGTTACATGCTGGTGACACAGTGAATAAGACATAAAATCTTTGCTTCATGGAACTCACCTTGTTTAGAATCTATTGCCTTAGAATCCCTGGAGTAAGGTCACAGTGTTTCCATTTTTAAAATATCCATAGAAAATTTAGATGTGCAGCCACAGTTAAGACCCATTGCAGCAACACATGCATGCATGTGCACACAAATGCACACACAGACACACACAACATCTTGCATGAGAAGCCAAATACGCTAAGTTCTAGTCCCAATTATTTTATTTGCTAACTGAAGGACTTTAGCTAAGTCACTTAGCCTCTCTGAGTTTTATCAGCTGCAAAACAGAGTTAATAATATCATTCATGTCAAATATATAAAAGCTTAGAATGTTACAGTTGGAGATAATATTAAATTTCTCATTGCTTCCTCCAAAATCTATTCTTCAAACCAGCAAGATGATCTTTTAAAAACATACATCTGAACAGGTCACTCCCCTAACTAAAAGCCTTCAGTGCTTCCCACTGCATATAGGGGGAAAAAAAAGTTCATTATACTGTGGGAGCCCTGGTATTCTTTCAGTTCCCTAAATATGCCAAACTATTCTTCATGGCTTTCAGACATGCTGTTCCTTGCATAGACTGTTCTTCCCTGTGGACTGTTCACTTGGCCACTTTCCGATGTCTGCTTAAGGGTTAGTTCCTCAGAGATGCCTTCTCTGATCCACTATTCTGAAGGAGGGCCTGCCATCACAGTCTCCTATTATTCATAACCAGGTATTTATATGCCTGCTCATGTATTTAATGTCAGTCTCTCCCACCTGCTTGTGAGCTCCACATCTTTTTGCTCATTGCTGTTTTCCCAGGGCACGACACAGGGCTCAGTACACAGCAAGAAGCTGATCAATGCATGCCTGGGTGCTCCCTGTTACAGGTCATGTTCAAGCAGAAGACATCAGACAAGGATATAATTAAGGAGATTCAGCATTTTCTGAAATGCGTGACTAGGTCACCTTTAAGGTGTCCTCTTACATATACAATCTTATAGATTCTATGATCCTCTTTTCTGTAAACCCTGAAGATTTTTGTACTGCTAAGATCCCCCTGCCTCCTGCCCCATGCACACACTTAAGTATGTGCAGGGAGTGGCAGTGTTTGCACTTGAGTCTTGATGACATCAGACAGCAGGGTCACCCGCAGCCCATGTTCATGAGAACTGGAAAGGTCCTTGGGAGAATCCATCCTGCATGAGGAAGGAGGCAGGACTGTGGGCTCTACCTCACATTAAAGCCACAGCTGGTGGCAGGGAACAAAGATCCTGAGAAAAAGATTGGTGCCCATAGTGGGGGCTACAAAATAAGAAGCTCCAAGCTCTCCCCTGCCCCCTTCCCGGGACTGCTGATCTAGGCAGGGCACAGTCTTGGGAGGGGAGTTTTCAAAGGAGCTGAAAGGTACACGTAGAAGGCCCCCTGCAGGTGCTCTCATGCTTGTGCTCCTCTCTAGAGTGGCGGCCTGCCTTTCCCTTCAACTGCAGTAGGAAAGCATGAGGTCAGGTGCAGCCCTGGTGTAGGAGAAGGCAGCACAGGCCTTTTGGCCATCTTTGGCTGTAGGCACTCGGTGCTTCCTGATCTAGGAAGAGCCTCCAAATCTCAGTGTCTTCCTCGTTCTCCACTTCTCTGGAGACCTCTCTGGGAGGGGGGTGAACCCAAGTGGGCTCAGGACTCAGCACCCTGCATCCTGCCTCTGTGCCACCTCTTTCCCCATCAAGGAAAAAAACCTGTCAGCACCTCACTTTGACCCAACTTATATCTGGCAGCTGGTCTAGCCTAGAATTTGGATATATCTGTGTCCTCTCACCAAACATTATTTTGAAATGACATCTTTCACCTATCTAACATTATTTGCAATAACTGTCCCTCGGAAGGGTCTCCTGGCCTAGTGGCACAGGACTCATGCCTCGGGAAGCTCTAAGTGAAAAGAGAAAGAGTTGACTCACTTCACACAAATGTTCTAAGACATTTGAGCCACCAGCAGCTTAGAATATTATACAGAGTACAAAATCAGCAAAAAGTATTTCGTCCCATGGCCCGCAGACCTTCCCATTGGCAGGGCAGTAGGGGTAGAAACAACAAGAATATTAAACCTGTACTCTGTGCCAGGCACTATGTGAAATGTGTTATGTGCATTATCTTATTTAGTCCTAACAGATTAATTTACAGATGAGGAATTGAGACCCAGAAGTTAAAAATGACTTACCAGAGAATCAGAGCTAGTAAGTGGTAATGTCAAGGTTAGAATTTAGGAATGCTTGATTCTATGGCTTATGCTAATAACACAATTATACTACAAGTGTGGGTTTCCTTGTGAACACACAAAACCCCCAGAGGCTTCCAGGATCATTTAATGGGGAACTCTTGCAGGAGGCCAAGGAACCATACCATGGAGCTGGGCAACAAGCCCCAGAAATTAGAGATCTTACAGCTAATGTGATTTCACTTATTCCCACCAGCTGGTAAAACCTAAAGAGGGGTTAGAACAGTAACGTAATCACACACACAAATGCTCTAGATTAGTCACTCGAGTCTTCTGGATTCCTGCCATGCAGACATTGACATTTTTATTGACTTCTTAACCCAAGTGTGGCTTTTAATAAAAATAAAAAATGAAGCTTACCATGGGCATGACATGAAGCAAGTGTATATTGTCACTATAAGCCAAATAGACACAAAGACTGTGAAGGCATGTCTGTGCCATTTCAGCAGATATGTGTGTTAGGAAATCTTTTATTTGCATATAACTTCTCTAAGTAGAAAAGCAGTGGGTTTGGAATTTACTGTAATTTTTAAATTTTTCAATACTTAAAAAAAATTACAACAACGTGTGTTAGAACATTTTGAGATAATTGTTACTACTTAAAAACTGTTTTCTGTGTGTACAGATTTCTATCTGGTGTTTGACATGGTGATCTTCAAGTGGTAATCTTTGAGTTCATTTATTCATTCATTCATTCATTCAGGGGGGTCAACAAATTATAACATTTAAACATCATATATCCTTTAGATCAGTTTTTTTTTGACTCTTAAGACAGAAACAAAATAAATACCTAGAGTAATGGGCCAGTGATTCTTAAAGTTGTAAAACAAATGAGGCTTTTCCCATTTGTTGACCTTTTACAACAGGTGACAAGTTGTATTTGCACACATAGGATAAATGCATGTCATTATCAGTTTTGTACATATTTGCATTTGTTTTGTCTGTGGTGCAGGAACACGTACTCCCAGGCTGCAGAGGCCTCCTCCAAGGAGGCACTGACACCTCTCCCAGAGAGGCTGGCTGGCCTCCCTCTGCATCATGGCCCCCAGAGCTCACACCCAGCCTTCTCTTATCCTGATCGGGCCCCATGAACTTCTTGAAACAAGAAGTCTCTTTCCTACCTTGTATCTTTGTATTTGCTGTTCCTGATTGGCCTTCTCTTTCTTTTCATTTTCTAACAGGATTCAGGTCAAAAGACACCCTTTGGGGAAAGCTAACAGTGATTCCATCCCTGTTGCTTTCCCAAGGACTTTGTTCCTTTGCAGAGTGTTCCCTTTCTCCTGCATCATTAATTTTTCCTTCTTTACTGGATGAATCCCTTTAGCATAAAAATCTGCACTAATATCACCAATCTGAACAAAGAAACACTCTCTCTCTCTAACTACCAATTCATCTCCCTGGTTCCTTCTTCATGGAGCTCTCCACACTTCTGTCTCCATTCCTCACTTCTCTTTCAGTCTCCAGCTAATTTCAGGCTTTCTGACCTCTCTGTCACCCTGAATCTGCCCTTTCGACCATCACCAAATAACTCCATGCTGCCAAATCTCAAATTTACCTGATTAACTTAATGTAAAAGAAAGCATGAAAGGCCAGCCCGGTGGCGCACTGGATAGTGCGCCGCTTGGGAAGCGCGGCGGCGCTCCCGTCCGAGGGTTCGGATCCCACGTGTAGACCGGTTCCCGCTCACTGGCTGAGCGAGGCGCGGGAGCAACACCGAGGCTTGCGATCCCGTTGCCGGTCCCCGGTCCGGTACGGGGGCAACACTGAGGGTTGCGATCCGTTGCCGGACATGGAAAAAAGACAAAAGACAAAAAAAAAAGAACAGTAACGTAATCACACACACACACTCTCTCTCTCTTTCTCTCAACGTAATCGCAAACACACACACACACTCTCTCTCTCTCTTTTTCCCACCCCTCAAAAATGCCCAGACATTCTTTTCTGATTGATATTAAAAGTTATTTACACACTGTCTTTGACAATGGAAAAATTTTTTTTCTAACCTGCTGGCCTTTGCCTTCTCAGCGTTTCTAAAGAAGGAAGTGAACTGGTAACTGTGTAGACCTAGCCTTTTCACTCAAATTCAAGTCCACCAGTGTCACAAATAAAACATCCTTTGAAATACAACTTCGTTTGAAATTTTTCATTAAAATGTAAGAAACAGAAATATAAGATGTCATGACTATAAAGGGTTTTACCTTAAAATAAAGTAAAATATAAAATCTTGACCTTTCATTTTTCTCCATGGAAACTCTTTAATTGATCAATGTGTTTTTTTCCCCCTCTTTTGGACAGAGATGAAGAGACAATTTTGGATATGATATATAAGTAACAAATTTTCTTCCGCAATACACAATATCAGTATAACTCAGTTTTCTGACACCATAATTAGATAAACAAAAAAAAATCCTTATTTAATAATAAGCGAGTGGCCCTATGGGGGGTTAAATCAATTAATTATGCAACTGATAATGACAGGTAAAATGAGTTGTTTTGTGGTGGAAAGAGGCCCAGAATCCCCAGGTCAGAATGCTCTGTCATGCCCAGCCCTATGTAACTGCCTTCCAGGACATTCTGGTCTTCAACCACCTCTAAGACATGTTTAGCTTCTTGTCCTATTTACAGACCCTCAGATAATCTTAGCACAATCACCAACCTCCCACCAACTCCCTTTGATGAAATCTGGTTTAGGCTTACCTCTCCGCTTATATCCCAAAATGCTTCCAAATGTCACGAGGGCTGCGTAACCAAAACCAACCAGGTCCATTGGTGAGGTTGCAATTCTGAAGAAAAGGGGAAGGGACAAATTATTCAAAATAAGAAGAGTTTGGGGGAACAAATGTATATAAAAATGATATACATCTCACAGCATTATAAAAATTAATTTCTCTAGTCTACAAAAAAGAGAGAGAGGTTCAATCTTCACCTCTCCCAACACTCAACCACTGTCCCTCCAACCTCATCACTCTCAAGCACACTTGGGGACACTTCAGGTTGATTCTCCTTTGCCTGTCCTCAAAATCTGTCATACCCTCGGCTGTTTAATTCTATTTCCCCAAATAAGGTTTCTGCTCTTGTCAGCCAGGTACCCTCACTAGACTGCAACACTACAATCTTCACTTTTCACTTCTATGCCTAGAATGTTCTCCCTCTCCTACACCTACCAAACCCCAATCACCCTCTATACACCACCTCTCTCTGAACCCCTTATTATCTGCCTCCCAACCTCCTTTACCACTCTAGCCTGCACCACCAAACTGGTCTGCAGCAAATGGCTTCTTCCTCCTCTAAATTCCTTGACTTCCCCAGCTCCATCTTATAAATCTTTCATGTTTGTACAGATGTTTGTCTTCCCGTCCTCCCCACACCAAAGAGCAGAAAAGGGGTAATATGGATGTTTGTTTGGAGATTGAACCAAAGATTCACTTTAAGCATTTGCTTTGTCATTAGCTTCGTTATGAGTTAGCTATTCTATGGTAGCGGAGACATCCACACCTAATCAATGGCAAATCACTAAAGAATATAACGAACCTTGGCACAAAGTTATTTGAATGACAATGACATCCTACTGTGCATCACAGCAGCAGCTGAAACATATATTCAGTGTGGAGAACTTCCATTGAATTTCTGCCCATGATCCTCTAGATTAGTAGCAAGTGTGCTGGCTACAGGCTGGGGACATGGGTACTGGCACTTAACGGGCTGTTGGTTCTTAGACTATGCCCCTCACTCCCCCCAAAGTGAGGGAAATAGATGAGAGAAGGTCTAAAGTTCCTTGCAGTCTTTTAAATTCTAATATTCCTGGTGGTGCTTTTATATCCTAACTCTCTTACATCTGTACTTCCTCCATGGGGAAAACAATTATTTTTGTAAATATGAGAAATGGTATATGAGATTTCTTGTGTATTTTTACAATTATTACAATTTTATTTCTCACTGTTCCTCATTTAGGTTAACTGGCCTTTTATTCCCTGTAGCAGCTGGTAACAAATTACTCAGAAGAACAGAAAAGGGGTTTTGAGCTTATCTCAGACAGTTAATTAGAACTTACTGGGAGGAAGGGTCTGGGTGGAGGGAATCTGAGGCACAGGAGGAGATGATTGCCCTGAAAAGGAGGCAACACTGAAAAATCCTCCACATCTACAGCAAGAAGAATTAAAACAGGAGAGCTCATCTGTGCCCATGAAGTGGTATTGTGGGATGTTAACATGTAGGAAAGATCTGAATTCAAAAACCACTTGTGGACTGAATGATGGATAAACAAATAGTCATAATAACAAGGATGATAATGTTTTTGAGCAATTACCACGTGCTAGGCAACATTCTAAGTCCTTACAAGTATCAACTCATTTAATCATTACCATAGCGCTATAAGGTAAGTACTATCATGATTACCCCATTTTCCAGATGAGAAAACTGAAGCACAGAGAAGGCAAGCAATACCCTAAAGTCACACGGCAGAACCAAAATTTCAGACTCAGAGAAGTCTCACTCCTAACCACTATGGAATAGCGACAAGTAAGTAAGCTGGCTGAAAAAGGTGATTTTGCAAATGGAACTGATGTTCTGCAGGGTTTTCAGTTCTAGATTAATCACCTGCTTGGTCTCAGAGCTTACAGTCGTAACCACAGCGCACTGTCTTCAGCCCTATGAGCATCTCATGTGCAGGCCTACATACTTCCCCAAGGAGCTAACCATATTCCACAGTGTACAGTTGGCTTCAGACCTGACAGCATGACTTACTAGCGTGTAGAATAGGCACAACTCTTAACCTCTCTGTAACTCAGTTTCTCCTTCTTTAGAATAGGGATAATAAAAATTCTCACAGAATTGCTTTGAGAATTAAATGAGTTAATACCATAAAGCACTTAAAACTGTGCCTGGCACATATTAAGCACTCTACAGAAGTTAGTTGCTCTAATAAAGATTATTTTTCTCTTTCACCCTGACACCTATTTTTAAGCTTGACATGTGTAAAGCATTACCATTTCAGGACACTGAGAAAACAACTGAGGTAGCATGAATTTATGATTCAGGCATTCAACTAATCAAACCACGGTATTACAACTTATATTTATACTCAATTCCATTAAGTTACTACTTATTGAGCATCTTCTTTGTGCAAGGCAGTAGGAGGTAATGAAAAGCCCTCAGACATGGTCTTATAGTACAGGACTTACAGTATAGCACAGCAGGGGAAGCAAATGTGTGAATGAGCCCCAGAGGAGTGGCACAGGCACCCCACCAAGGAGTGGCACCTAACAAGTCTTGGGAGGCTAAGGAAGAATTCCCAGAAGAAGCAGGGTCCCAGCTCGGACCTTGGGGAGAGCAGGAGTAAGCCAAGTGAAGAGGGTAGCAAGGAAGGGTGTTCCAGGCAAAAGGGAGAACATGGGGAAAGGCTTAGTAGCATGAGAAAGCACAGCATGTTCTCAAAATGGAGAAGAGAGGGGATTGTGAAAAGGGGAGGTGGGGAGCAGTGAGAAAGACAGGGCCCTACATCCATGTAAGCCCTGTAAAGGGAGTCTGACCTCTGTCCTGAAGGCAGTGAGGAATCAATGAAGTGAGCCTCACAATCACATGTAAATGCCAGCAAATACTTTTTGGCTGTAGTAGTGGGAGAAGGGTTAAAGTGAGGCAGGGAGAGAAACTGGGAGGCTGTTGCAGTAAACTAAGCAATAGGTTAGATGGTCTTCTTTTAAAAGTGAGGCAGGGAGAGAAACTGGGAGGCTGTTGCAGTAAACTAAGCAATAGGTTAGATGGTTTTCTTCTTTTAATTTTTTTTTTTTTTGTGGTGGCAGCTAGTACAGGTATCCAACCCTGGACCTTATCAGCACCATGTTCTAACCAACTGAGCAACTGGCCAGCCGAGAACTTAGTTGGTGATGGCAGCCTGGCCTAGAGGAATGGCAATGAGGGGGAAGTGAGGTAGACAGATGTGAGAGAGATTCAGGAGCTAGAATCAGCAGGCCTGGATGTGAGGAGGGAGGGACAGGGATGAGTCAGAAATGACCCACCCCTAGGTCTCTGGCTTCAGCCATTAGGAGAGAAGGGGGCAAGGGAGCCTTGATGCTATTCCCTGAGACAGCAGCAGGTGTGTGGTGGGGGAGGGAGGGAAGTGGCTAGGAATCAGGGGACCTGTTTGGAACATATTCAGTCTGAAACGTCCCACACACAGGAAAACACCCTTAATGCAAATCTGAAGATCGTGAGACAGATCATTCATCATAAGGTAGTAATCTGGAGAATTAATTTTCTCCTAAAGCCAAGCAGCTGGTGTGAAAGATTGATTTCCCCTCCATTCTCTGAAACCCCAGTTCTTCCTGTGACCCTCTCGTGGGGACTCATCCCCTTTTAACTGTATAACGTTATTTGTGTTGGGATTCTCTGTCCTCTCAGCCAGTCAAGCTCCTTGCAGGCAAACCCAGGTTCAATTTATCTTTGTCCTCCTCAAGCACCACACACCCTGCCCTGCTCAAGGTAGGTGCTTAATAAATATTTGAATGAATGAATGAGTGAACCAAAGGGACAGCTTCTGCCTGAAGACATTCTGTAACTGATCTACCCTGGTATAGCTCTATTGTCAGGAAACAGCTCTTAATCTCCTTGGTGAACGAGTGTTGTCCAAAAGAGGCAAGATAAATCTCTTCCTGATCCTTGCAAGAAGTATCTACTCTTGCAGAGGGCATCCAGGCAAAAAGCAGTCACCCCTCTTGCTCCTTCTCCATGGCTGGGACTTTCAGCCAGGCCAGAAGCACACTTTAAATCTAGAGGCTGAGTTAACCTGAAAGGGATTGGGGAGGGGATGGCAGCACATCACATGCTCCCAACGCAAAAGCGATGCTCAAGACTTGTAAAGGCCAGGAAGCATCCTCAGTGCAATGCAGAAAGATGATTTACTGCACTGCGTACAAAACCAGGGGACAAGGTCCTGCCTTGCCCCAGCCCCAAATCTTCCAAAATTTGGAGAACTCATGAAGAGATTTTCTGTAAACTATTACATAAAAAGCAATTTCACATGCTAAATACTTACCTACCCTTGAGCTCCTTGGGGCATGAAAGATATTTTCGAGTGAAATCTGGGTGGCGCTGGGAAGGTTAAAACTCTACCAAGCATTTTTGCAACGGTCCACGAGCCTACCCTACCACTCCTCACCACCACTCCAGCTCCAGGAAGGTAGAAGGCAAGAAAGGTGGGAATTTTCGGGCCGTGAGAAGGCAGAAATTCGGGAAATTCCCAGGAAGAACAGATAAACGATCCCTGGAGAGCAGAGCTCATCTCCTACAAAATCCCCCCAAGGTCCTCTGCATCGTTGTTTGACATAGAGATTTCGGGAGGAGGGTGGGGGGAGGGAAAAGCCCACTCAGCAAAGGCCTTTTTATTTCTTCGCTTTCGCAATTAAATTCAGAACCGGAAGGTCTCGACTGCGGGATGCACAGCTCACCTGCGGCCCCGAGCCCTCCACGAGGCCGAAAAGAGAGAAGTCGGGGGCCAGCTGCCGGAACCGGAGACACCTGGAGCGCGGAAGTGCTCTCGGTCTCCGCGTCCTGCTTTCGCGCTCGCTGAGCAGGGACCGCTCCTCCCCGGCGCCGCCTTCCCTGCTGCGCGCATGCGCCACGCCCTCCCTCGACTCCGCCCGGTCTGGTTCCACCCGGTCCGCCGGCGGCTCGGAGCGCTGGTGCAACGCCAGCGCAGGCGGCAGCCCGACCCTGTCACTAGCTCCCTCTACTCCGCCTTCGGCCCGGGCCCGGAGCCCGATGCTGGGGTCGGCTGCCTCCTGCCGGACCGAGCGGGACTGACAAGTACTCGCAGGAAGGGTGTCTGGGTGTAGCAAGGGATCCCAGGAGGCGAAACCTCTATGGCAACTCAAGCATTTTTACATACTGTAACAGGTTGTCCCCGTTTTCAGTGGAGGGAGCTAAGGTCAGAGGGGTCAAGTGATTTAGTTCCAAGGTCAGAACCCATGTTTGTTTGGTTTCAAAGTCTGAGCACCCTGTGAAGTCATTCTATATGTAGTTAGATCAGGATCCTGGTTTTATACTTCAGGCCCAGGATTTGCTGGGTTTAGATACCTAAGGGGAATAGTATAGACTCCTAGAGGTGGAAAGCACCTTACGTCTTTTCTAGTCCAGGGTAATCTGTTCCCGGGAATGAACCTTAAATTGACTTGAAATTGTGCCTCATGGGTAACTTCTCATCTCACCGCACTTTTGCCTTGAGGCAGTAACTCTGACCGTCTTCCTTATTTAAAAGCTCTTTGGGGATTTGAAGAAGCTGTCACCTAGGAGTCAAGCAGCTTTAGAGGCTCCGTGGTGCTGGGAATAATAGCAGAATTCCTAAATCAACAAACAAACAAAAAAACCTGAGAATACAAGTTCATGGAAAGATTCATATTATCTTTTAATTCTATTCTTCCATGAACGTTTTGAAGTACCCTTGTATACATTAAATACTGTGAAATTTGTTTGCTGAATCTATTCCTTGTGCATAAAAGTGCTTCGGGGAAGTAACATTGCTGTATCTAATTTACGAGAAGTCTGAATTGGTCCTAGGGAGTTAATAAAATCTCTGAAGATTCACAGGAGAGTTGATGGCAAGACACTGGAATGTGAAGTGGAGAAAGTGGTATCCTGAAGTTTGGCTCTGAGTTCTCTCAGCTCTCCTTTCCATCCCCTTCTATGCCCACCCTTACCCCCCCAGCCTCTTCCCCCCTCTCCTCAGATTCCCCCCAAATTTCCCTATTCAGAATAAAACTAAAACCCTTTTGGGATGTCTCATCATCTTCAACTGATGTGATCTGGGTAAATAACTTCCCCTTGAACCTCAGTGCCTGGATTTAAGATGTGGCTCAGATTGGATGCTCTGAGATCCCTTCTCCCCTGCCACTGAAGTATTGGAAGATGGAACAGCTTCATGATGTTTCAATGCAAGGCATTTCATCTAAACCTAAAAGAACAACTCTTTGTATATTATGGAAATTCCATACTTTCAGACATATGGGAACAGGATGGTCCTTAGGCAGAGGGGCCATTGTCCCTTCAACTCATAGGCCACCAGCTGTTGCCTACTCCAGCTAATGGAAGGCTAGGGTGTGAGGAGATCTGAGAAACTGTAAAGCTTTCTATTCATGATCCGCAGAAGAGACTCTTGACCTCCAGTGTGACATCTACCCCTTAGGCAGTTGGGAGAAAAACACAAAATAAAAGACCTAAGATGGTGAAGGAAGCCAATTTCAATAAAATACATTTATCGGATTAAACATTTAAACCTGTGATATAATAGATATGTTTCTTTAATACAATATTAAAGATTACAAGATCCAGGGGTAGAATTATTACCGTAATATCAAAATGGTGTTACATATAAACAGTATTTTAAGGTATCCATAATGTGAATATCTGTGATTCCTGGTGATGACAGAGACACAGGTATTACTGCTGTGGTTTGTTGGCCTATTCTCTTAATGGATAGAAATGCTAAATTCATGTAGCTAGATTCTAAATTTAGAGGTTTCACTAATCTCTAAATTTCAGTTAGAGGTTAGTGAAAATAGGAATTTCTTTCTCCCATCCATATTCTCAGATCTCCTCATTTCTATCCACAGGCTCCTTTGGATGTGTAAATCCCAAATTAAGAACTCCCAGTCTATAGTAATGCAAGATTTCATGAGTTGTATGTAGGTAGAATCAGAAAGGCAGAGCAAGGTTGAGTCCCATTGGCTGTTGACAGACCGGCTGCTCAGGCAGGGCCTCACGGGATGTTTACACCGCAGTGAGTGTTCTGGGGATCCTGAGCCTGGTCTTCATTGTCAGATGTTTAGAAACTCAGTTTGTCTCTGTTCTTCTAGGGGCACCCTGGCTTTGGAAGATTCATTCATTTAAAAAAAAATGGCACAAAGAACTTATTGATTTTTTTTTTAAGTTCATGTCAGATCCTTGATTGTTCTCTCTTTTCAGATCCCGTGACTACTCATTTAAGCCTCTGCTCATCAATAAAAGAATTTTGAACATGAATCCCAACATATGTATATTGTATATTTCTAAATTGGATACATACTGCTATACCAATATGCTGTGGATATTATGAATACAAATATATAAGTAAAAATAGTATATAAAGGAGAACATGAATATAATAGGACTAATTGAACTGATATTTCCTATATTTAATAAAAATAACAATGACATATTTCTTTCTGTCTCATGATACAGAAGAATATTTTTACTCTTTCTGTCTCCTTTTCCAATAATACTTCTCAGAATCGCCTGCAGCCTTTAGGACATCCTTCTTTTCCTTTATGTAGTGGTAAAACTGAATAAAGCAAATGTAAAATTCACTCTGACTTGCAGCTCTGCTCTTCTCAAGACTACATTACACTGATTCCTAGCATCAGTCAATGTGATGACATTAAGCTAAATATCCTCTCAACAAAAGTGTTTGAGCATGAAATACTTAGGATTTTAGTTACTAGCAACAGCAAGTTTCTAAACTTGTAGGAATTAGTTTCCATTTTTCCAAATATGTCTACCCACTTTGTATCCACAGGCTTATTTCGAAAAACCAGCTGTTTGTCAATCAGGTCTTTTGCATTTATAAACTCATCATATAGGCTATCCATGTCAAAAATGTCCGCCATTTTTAAACACTCCAAAGCATAGTGGATAACATCATAAGTTAAACATCTTCCCAAGGAAAATTTTTTTTTTTTTTTTTTTT